CTGAGGCAGGAGGATCACTGTGAGTTTGAGACCAGCCTGGGCTACATAGTGAGTTCCAGGTCAATCTCAACTACATAGTGAGACCCTGTCTCAAAAAAACAAAACAAAAAAAAAAAAAAAAAAAAAAAAAAAAAAAGCCTTAGATCTCTGAAAACGGATAGATGGATGGGACTACAAGTCAGGCTGTGTCTCACTCTAGTTGAAAAGGAGGGGAGGAGTTCCTAGGTCTGCTTTTATAGAATTAATTCCAGGAATATGGAGAGGGTCATATGACTGCAAGTCTAACCTTACTCCTTCTACAAGTAAAGATTATGGTCCAGCTTCTTCAAAGTCCTACGATGAATGAGATCTGCTTAAATGGAGGGTAACCCTTGGAACACCCAACCATGCTTGTGGTTTCCTATTACTCCACAAACTAGGCTGTGGTTAGCTCCTAGTCTTGACCCTGACCCAACAGCAGAGGAGAAGACTGGCTCGAAGGAGAGGCCATGGGATGGAGGGTGTGTGGATGAGTGTGGGGGTCAGTGGTGACAATGAATTGTCATTGCTTCCCTGTGTAACTAAAGGGAGAGCTAGAGAACAAGGGAGAGCCTGAGAAGAGAGGTGGCATGGCTGGCATTACAAGAACCTGCAGTTTACCTCATTTTCTATGAACCTCGGTGGAAAATTTAACACTGAGATCCTATCAACAGCCCACACAAAAGAACCACCACAGGGTGAGGAGAGAAACCAGGAAGGCTCTCGAGTTGAAGCTAGAGCAGATCAAGGCACCAGGACAAAGCTCTACACTGACCTGGCTAGTTAAGGTGCCCAATTAATCTAACATCATTTTTGCAGAAGGTCGGAGGCTGGGCATCCTTTCAGCGGGGTTTTCTGTAATGGCCATCCTACCTAGGTGCAGGTATTTCTCTAGATGTGATCTGCTCGCTACCTGCTTTGGAATCAGCTAATGGGTTGCTAAATATGGATTCCAGGGTCTCACTGCAGTTGGTCCAAGGCAGCCTCCCTGGGGACAGCCTAGGAATCGGCATGCCGACACGCAGTGGAATCCACATGTGTAAAGCTAGAGAACCACTCAGACCCAGAGGAGGGGCACACACAGCTGCAGTCGATGGGTTCGGGAGGGTGACATTACCACAGCAGCGATGCCTGCATTAACTGGGCATTGGGCAAAGCAGGCTGGCTGCTCAGGCCAGAAAGGCACCTAAGAAGAGGGGCTGGGTGCCTGGGGCACCTACCAAACACGGTCAGGGTGAGCAGGAGGTTCTTCCCCAGCTTGTCGCACAAGCGCAGTCCTAGGTGTCGGTGCTTCGGCTCCTCTGAGCTCAGGTGGCTGTCCTGCATGCGCACCTCCACTTGCTTCGGCATGTTGTTGGCACTGCAGCGGAAGTGGGGCAGTGGTTAGAGACCGTGGGCGCCACAGCTGTACAACTTCAGGGGCTCGGGTCCCAGTGCCCTGCCCGCACCCCAGGGGACAGACTCGGGGCACTCTGGATTCCAGGTGGCTGTAGGTAGGTAGGACAACATGACACACTTAGCACCTGTGTGTCAGGTGCTTCAATTCCCACGACTGAGGATCCTCAACGAAAGGAAATCCACAAGCGGCAAGTAATCAGTTTTTCTGAGAGGTGCCCTCAATGCAGACTCTGGGAAAAAAGTATTCCTGCCCCGTTTTACAGAGACTAACTTGCTGAGGGTCACAAGGCTAGAGGAAACGGGGATTCAAATCCAGATATGCGTGACTCCAAAACCTGAGCTTTTTGGTCTTTTAACAACAGCAAGAAGGTGATGTCTGCAGGAGAGCAGCAGCCTGAGTTCTGCCAAAATGAAAAGGCCTCCAAGCTCAAGCTTTCCACACCCAATAAAAGTCACAGATGCTAAGAACCCAAGTCTTGCCTCTCTTTTGGAAAAAAAAACAAAAACAAAAACAGTTCATCCAGCTGAGAGCTCAACCTACTGTGTTTTTTAAAAGGTCACTGAACTGTCAGGACTCTGCTGAACTGCCCACAAGGCAAGACCACTGGGAGTCGGAAGAGTATGGTTTTCAGAAGCATTTTGATCACTTTCCTCTGCAGATGCAGCTTAGCTCTCTATTGGTTAAAACTCAGTAAGCCCAAGCCGTTCTTGGAGTCTGCCTAGTGGAGCCCTGGGCAGAGAAATGGGGACACTGCTCCTTCCCCGGCCTTGTCACTTCCCAGGCCTGTAAGATTCCACAATTAAGCTTGTGGCACTGACATAAGGATGGTAAGGTTTCACTTCTGCAACTTTAGACATTTTTATAGGTGACGTTTTCAACCACCATCATTTGATTTAAGAAAAGGAAAACCTTGTAATATCTTGAAGGACAGGCATAGATGACAGGCTAGTGGCTTCCAAGATAACAAGGAATGACCTTTCCCCAGATATTCTCACCACAGACCTTCATCTGAAACCAGGGCCTATCTGCACACCGGTGAGGTGGGATCATCTGCTGTAATGGGAAGAGTGTGGGCTTTAGAGTTAGAGAGCAGAGGCTTCTAATCCTGACTCTGTCACACGCTAGCTGTGTAAGGTGTGGAAAACATGGCGTGATAGCTACTGCATGAAAATTAAATAATATGCTAGCACCGTGCTTAGCACAGGAAGTTCCTTTTTCCAGGGATCCTGAAGAAGAGACACTCCTTGTAAAGTTCCCAACAAGGATGACATTAAGTTCAGCTGACTTACCCAACTGCACCACCATTCCAACAAGATGCCAAGAACTTAACTTCTGCTCTCCAAGTTAAAACCAGGGATTCAAATACAATATTATGACTTACTCTTTTTTTCATAACAGGCTGCTTAATATATTTGCTACCAAAATTTTTTAAAAACTGGGAATAATTTTGCATGATTTGGTAGAATATTCAGATGGAGATATTAGTCAAAATGTAAGCTTGTTAGTCTCCTCTTAGTGGCCTAGCATCTAGCTAATGCTTGAGGCAACCTCTGACCTCTTGATACATGTGTACACTAATGATCACTCAGACCACCTAAGAAAGAAAACAGGGCATGTGTGCCAACAGCCTGGGGACAAGGGCCTCTCTGCTCAGTGAGCACCTGATACTACTTCTTCCTACTGCCAAGTAAAACAGACACAAAAGCACTTTTTACAGCACAGCAGGAGAAAATTATCGAACTAATCTTTTTAACATGGCTAGACCATATTTTTATGTTTGCATTGGGATCCTTTTCCGTTTTTAAACATTTCTCTAGCCAATACTATAACATGAAGCTCTAAATCAGGAAATGGGCAACAAAGAAGAGAAGTCGTATGTGTTCTAAAGTGGTTGTGTATTCCCGTAGCAAGTTCTTGGCAAAACTCTATGGTCCCCTCGAGACGGTTAATATCCTTGCCTTCTGCTTTGAACTGAATGGCATTCCCCTGCCATCGAAGTTAGAATCAGGCACATGGTTGATATTTAAGGGACACTAGCAAGTTATGTAAAGCAAACTTTCTGGCAAGATCCATGTGATGCAATGAAAGCTTCAGGCATCAAAACAGCCAGGTCAAAGTGAAAACACACAAATATTAGGGTAACATACACACCCAGGCCTGAGAAGTGGTTGGATGCCTATTACACACATTTCTTAGTTGTACAAAATTGCTGCCCATTTAATGGTTTGCTTTTCAGGCCATGACAACGTGTCCTCGAAACCTTCAATCAAATCAGCCACATCAAAGTAGCAGCACCAAAATGTCATGAACCCACAAGTGTTTATTGAGAGAATTCCTGTGACTTGCCCCTCTTGGACTGAACAGATGCATCAGGCTTCTAAGAGTACCTCACTTATACACACTGATGATCATTTTTTTAAACTCTAGCTGGGACTCAGTGACCCTGCTCCCCAAAACTTTGCAGACATTCTATGCCCATAGCTAATCACTATGTCAGAACACAAACAGATCCCGAAATAGAGAATATTATGGAATATGGCTTTACTGAGTATTATATAACATAATAGCTGTTTCTAAGCCTACATGCCTTCAAAAGAATAGATATCAGGACTAAAACTGTGAGACACACACAGCTATGAAATGCTGGTTACTAAATGCAGGCAGCAACAGCAGCAATGCTGGGTAACTTGCATTTACGGATCCTTTTCTGTGTATCAAACACCATACTCAGGAATGAGTAAGGTACAATCCTCATTCTTAAGAAGCCTTTGCTAAAGGGAACACACTGTAATCATCTGCCTGTCATGTGCATGGTGATGAAGTCTTGCAAATGATGCCAAAGACGACTGAGGCAGAAGGGGACTCGAGAAGAATTTCCAGGAGGGGCTGATTTCTGACGTGGATCTTAATGAATGGATTTCATTGAAATGACTGCATCCTGCACCCTGGTATGAGTCCTGAGAGAGCAGGACTGTGATTTTTTAACATCCTGTGTTTGATGCTTGATAAATTTTCCTAAGAGAAATTAATATTTTCTCAAGAGTACCTCGTTTTCTTCTGGGAATGCAACCCCTCTACAGATAGGCGGGCAGCACACACTTCGGCAAACTCTTAGCATTCTTCCATTTATTCCACATCTCTATGAGCCACATATTACAGATTTTGCCCTGGTCCAGGTGCTAAAAACAGTGCAATAAACAAAAAAAAAAAAAAGACAA